TAGTCGACTGTTTTTTCCCATTCCCATCTCTTAACCCATTCAAGTCATATCCCACATATTTGTTGCCGCTCCTGTATCCTTGGGCTAAATGAAGTTTTTTATCGCTTTGGAACAAAGTTAATTTTTGCTCTGCTGGGAGGTTGTGTTAGGTCTTCGGGCCAGTCTTTGCTGGTTTCTAGAGCAAAATCTTCCCTAACGTCTGGGATTCCTGTTTGTCAGAGTGACTTGTTACCCCTAAATCTTGGGTTTGGTGCTGAGTAAAACATAGAAAACCCTAACTTAGTATCCTCTATATACCCTACATTAAGATAGAAGTACAGCAAGCATAAATGCCTTATGTTTTAATTTAATATGCCTTACTCTCGCTTCATGAGACTTTTGCTATGTGAAGCCAAAAAAAGGGGCTGTTGGGGAGACTTTCAGGAGTCCACGGTCATCTTCCAAGCCATGATACAGATTAGGTCAACCATGCTGTAATCTAAACCTGCTGGCTGGAGTCCTTGAGCAACTTTACTAGTTATCAGCAGTGTATTGTTGTACTTTGGCTTCTCCCCTCCTTGTCCCCAAAACACTCCCAGGTTTGAGTCCTGTGGAGGTTCCTCTGCACCAGGAGAACGCCCAAGAAGAAAAGCACAGCCAGTCTTTCAGTTTGCAGGAGTTGAATGGTACAAAGGAAATGGAGCAGAGGAATCTCCAAAGTGTGATTGTAAGCGCTTGTCAAAGACTAAGTTCTACAGTCTGAATGGTGAGGTGTATCTCAGTTACACAAGCAGCTGCTATTTTTGAAGCTCAATTTAACACAAAGTAGGAATAGCTAAAATTTTCCTACTCAATCAGGATGCTTCTCTCTTTTCCAGATTCTCCTGCTAGGGAAAAGAAGGAATATCGATGCGAGCGTGTTTCATTTTAGCCCACTAAAATGACGTGCTGTGAAGCTCTTGTTAATCTGACTAAGCATATGAATATGCATTAAAATACCTGTTCTATCGTCTTGTTCAATGTTATGCCTCTAAATTTAGCTATACAACTGACTTGTTAGTTGTATAGCTATAGTTCTGTTGGTTGTAGTCCTATTTCAGTTACCTGTTGCAAGGATGGAAATTAATACTGTTTTATACTCTTGCAAAGTCAGTGAAGTGATGATCATGTTGCACACACACCTACTTTTTTTGGCTTCTATGTTATTGAGTGGTTATCTCTTCAATATATATTTGAATATTTCAATATATATTTAGTGTCTTTTGGATTTACTATGAGAGGACTTATAGGATAGAGGCATTATTACCTAGGACAAATACCATCAATCGCTCTGTGAACGGGAGGTCCGTAATGTCCTTTCCCCTATAAAAGTATGCGTAAGTGTTTATTTTGCAGTACAATTCCAAAAGTGACTGGTAAGGTAGTGCAAGAAAGTGGAGCAGCCCAGTCCTGTGTCTGAGAACGGCAGAGTTTACATTAATTGGATGAGTTTGCTAGTTACCAGCAGTAAACCTTTTTATAGTGGGGAAAGAGGCTCGAGAGACTGAAGCTGTACAGAACATGATTCATCAACCAGCAGAATTTTGCTCAGTTCGGTTTATTAGATTAAAAAAATTTGACAAAGAAAATAGATAATAGATTTATGATATTTTAAACCATAAGGAGGCTAGATCTGTGACTTGGACTTGCCGTGTCTTTGATCAACTCCTTAAAGGCCTTGCTAGTGCACATCACTTTTCTAAACATTAGTGGGCAGGTAGGTAAAAGAGGAAATTGGAACATGGAATGAACTCAAAATCAACGCTTTTTTTATTGTAAAATCAAGGGAGAGCAAACGTATTTACTCTTTTAGGATTTGTTGTTTGGTTTGAAAGAGAATGTTTAAAGTAGCGTGTTAAAGGGTTTGCATCTCCTAAAACAAGCAGTGTGGGTCAAGAACTTAGTTCCAGTTCAGGCATCCTTTAATGCAGTTGAAAATCAGTAATGTCTTTCCTTATCTTAATGCACTGAAAGCCTTCTAAAGTGTGGGAACTGTCAGAATACAGAAAAGTACTACATCACTTATAGCAAGGGTCACCGACAGAGACCACCATATTCCAAGCCAAGCTTTCTTGGCGCAGGAGTCCACATCTGTGATGGATGGAAAAGTCGATGTCGGCAGATGGCAACACGCTGGCAAAACTAATCTTCAGTTACTGTCCGTGTGTAAGTGTTGGTCGTGTGTTTTGCAGAGGTTCTGAGAGCATCTAAAATTCCAGTTGGAGTTGAGGGGAACAGGAAATACTGAGTCAGATTTACTGTGGTACGGTATAAACTATTAGCAGTTCAGAATCTTTTTTTCTCTGTGCAGAAGCTCTGGATTCAAAAAGGATCCTCTAAAAAGCTGTAGTACCTAGCTGGTATCTGTTGATCAGAAATCCTTGCTGATACTCGGGGGGATTCTCTTTAGAAGTTAGTAACACAACGTAGCTTATTGCAAAATGTGCTTAGATCTACTCTAAAAAGGAATTAGGACTATATTAAAACTAAGTTTTTCAACATAGGAGCCACAGACCACTTTTAAGAGTTCCCAAAAAAGTATTTAAGAAAAACAAACCAGTTGTTTCTCGGCTTAACTTTGTTCTGAAGGCGTTTACATCTCAACTAGGAAAAGGGTAAAAAATGCTGCTTCAGTATGTCTAAGGCTTTGGCTAGACAAAAATGTTGCTCTGTTAAATTGAAAGCTGTTTTGTGTTTAGATGTTAATACGGTTCTTATATTAGCTTGGCAAAGCTTTATCCAGCAAGAAAGTATTGCCAAATGAATTACAAGTTAATATGATCTCTCTGTTTGTAAAAACATGTACTTCAACTAGTTGAATACTTACCTGTGAATCTGCTCTCCTGTGTACGAAGAGGACTGTAGCTTTTCAGTAAATGCCTTGGGATAGATTTTGTGTGCTCGTATAAAAGGAACTCACTGAAAGGTGTGTGTACCTCCATAACGCCTAATGTGCATCTCTTCTGTGCTTTCAATGCTTTTAGCTTCCTCAAATCCAGAAGTTATCAAGATCAGTTCTGTGTTGGATATAGCATCAAAGGTGGAAGACTATTACAACATAGGCTATGTCGTAGGAGCCGTTCATCCTATTATGCTACCGATTGGACGTAGAAGGCATTTCCCTGCAAGTCATATGTATCGAGTGGTGCTTTCACGATTAAAATTAAGGTAACAGAAAAATAATGTAAATGCATTAGTTCACTACTTCTTGAAGCCATTTCTAAGTCTATTGCGCACATGCATAATTTTATTAACTTGAAATAAGCACCTCAAAGAATCAATTAAGTAACTGTTCCTTGTCTAGAATGGTGAGCAACTCGGGAGCATTATTTATGTTATTAACCCTGAACATTTAATAGGGTAACGCTTACTTTGCCTTAGTAAATGTCCAAACAAATACAAAGTCATCATACTTGCTATAGAATTTTAAAACATGTTTGTGGGAAGAAAAATTGTTACAATTTACCTTTTCATTTTTTATAAATTTTTATAATAAAGTATCATGTGTCTTAGAACCTCCAGCAAACATAAGACTAAACAAAAAACCTGAAGAGTAATAAGCTTCTTTTAATTTCCTCACGCCTATTCTCTTGTTCTTTGTTTTCAAAACTTTTGTCTTTTCCAAACTTTTCCCATAAGAGGATCACTGCCTGAAAATCACCTAAAAAGTGTGAAGTACTTTCAGCTTGACTGAGATAAAGTTTCTGCGTCACTCTTATCAAGAAACAAATAATCATTCTGTGATTTTGGAGGAGAGTGTGTATATATATATATTGGATAGATAGATAGATAAAATTGTTATCGCTGAGGGAAAGCCAGGAGCTTTTATGTTCGCGCTCCAAAATCTTGTTTATGCCGCTGTTGTCACAGCGTTAAAATCGCCATGTGATCATACAGAAAAACTACAAAGAAAAGTTACTATTAGTTCCTTTGAACGCGGAGAAAAGAACCTTTTGTTCTTAATAGGAACAGCTAGAAATGTGGATTTCTTACTTTATTCCGATCTCTGATACTTCCCCTTCCTTTCTCGGCCCTTGTGCCATACACAAAGGGCTCTTGCAGTTTCTTTTGGAAGACTGGAAGGACATGAATCCAGTGGCGCCCCGTGCAGCTCTGCTAATACTTCTATAAAACATGAGAGAGTTTCTCAATCAGATGCCTTGCTTAAACAGGCATTGTCCATAGCATTTGATATCATTTGTTCATGCGGGCTCATACAACTCACTTTCATAAAATTCATCTGCAGACCAGGTGAATGGTGTCCATGTGGGCAGATGCTCGAAGGAGCAAGGCAGAATGTTGCTTTCTAGAGCTGAAGCTGTTGAGCTGACGTTGCAACACACAACTTCCACAGCTCAGTTTATTCCCGTAGCTGTGGTATCCTTACGAAGTTGTGGTTTGAACTTTTCAGCCCTTGAGTAAGTGAAGGACAAGAACCTGCAGCCTGCAAATGAACCTGCTGGGTACGAGGTCCCAGTTTCCTGGGCAGGTGCCATATGTGCCTATCTTGGTTTTACTGTAGGCAAAGGTACCTCGGAGTTCTCCAGCTGCTACCAGAAAGTAACCTTTAACATCTTTCACTCACGTTTCCTTCTGAGGCAACAGCTTGTGTGAAAAAACACTGAAGAAAATACCATTCTATTGTAGATGCGCACCAAATGGTGATGTCCAGGTAACAATGTTACTGGTTTTAGTTTAAAAAAGATTCATAATGTTCTCCAATGCTAACTGGGAGTTAAAGCTGTTAGGATTTTGAAACCTATGAGTGATTGCAACATTACCTCACCAAAAGTGATTGTTATCGTGTTGTTATTTCTAGTATTTGCCTACACTGTTATTTCATGCGATAGCTGTGACTCTGTTCAAATTTCACAACTAAACAGCAGCCTTTTAACACTTGTGAAAGCACCATTTCTTTTCTTAGTGTTTTTTCCTACAAGATTGGTTCTATGTTTTGGGCTTGCTGCGTTTATAGTTCACATCTCTATTTTTTTCCATTATTAGAGATAGGCTTTTTGGGCTTATTTGCTATGAAAGCAGGGTTCTTTTTTTAAACAGTTTTTGTTGTTGTTGGCTTTTTTCCAGTTAAGTTCAGTTTCCAGAAAATGGCCATAAGCAGCCTTCAAGTGAAATTTCTGTTAAACGTTTATATTCTTACCCTAGCACTGTAAGACACAACACTGCTACTTTGTGTAAGAAGTGAAACAAAACAAAACATCAAAAAATGCTCACTGAGTTATAAGCAGAAGTATGAAAAAGCGTTGCCTGATTTCGTTCATAATCTTTATTCCAAAAGAAAAGAAAAGAATTCCGTGTGCAAGCATTTGCACAAGTTAGCAGCAAACTACTCACAAAGACTGCTTTCTTTCTGTGTTCTAGCCAGAAGCATGCAGCACCCAGAGGACAAAGGCACCCCAGGCTGGTGATTGAGGAATGTCCTTTAATGTATGAAACACTGACAAATGAGGCAGTGAAAGAACTGTTAGAAAAGGTATTGGAGGTGGTTTGTTTGGTTTTTTTTTTCCCCAAACTTCTTGCAGGATTTTTATTTCTAACATAGATGTAATTTATATTTAATGGTTGGGGGGGCTTGATCGGGGGTGGGTTTTTTTTTCCAGTTTTGAGTTTTAACCTTGTTTTTGCTTTATATGATCTAGGAAGTCTTTTGTTAATGTAAAAAGAGTTTTTTTTTTTTTCCTTTAGTTGCTTTTCCTAATTTAGGACTTAGTCCCGAGCGCTGTAAAGTTTTAGCGAGACTGGCCATTTATGCTACCGGAAGTAGAATCAGGCCTAAACTTTGAATCAGTCTTCAAAAAAATACTTGTACAATAGCTTTTTCTGGAATTAGTTTTTTTATAAAAAATCTGAAGTTTTATGTTGTTCTGTGTTAAGCAAGGTATTCATAATGAATATAATTTCCAAGAAAGCAGGGTTTCTTCATCTTTTAAATTGTAACAAAAATGCAAAACACAGTTATTGTAGTACTTTGCACTGCTTTTGAAAATATTGTATAACCCAAGAAAAGTAAACCTACACTACAATGCAAGCCGTAGTTCTGGTTCTTTTTGTGTTTCACTTCCTCTGCAAAATTGAAGACTTGCTGAAACAGGAAATTATTGTTGTTACAAGAGTTAGTGATAACTTTTACATTAGTTACTAAGGAAAGAAGGTGAGGAAAAAGTTTATTGGAAATAAGTAATGATCTTTGGAAATATCAAAGAGATGCTTAAAGTTTTTAAATGGCTTGTTTTGAAATTATTCAGGTGTTTCAGGTGTTTCAAATTTAAAATTGGACTCCAATACACATTTATACCATATGTGTACTGCCAGGTTGTCTATATAGTGGGACTGGACAAACTTAAAGGAAAAATGTGGTGGAAATTAGCAGTGATTTGGTCTTCCAAGGAAATCTGGAGTGTAAGAACCACATGAAAATAATTTGAGTTTAAAATGTTCCCAATGTTTTACAAAGACTGAGACGGTAATCCAGTGTAAACTTACATTTTTCGAAAGGCCTCCTGAGCCCACAAGATTTTGAGGCACTTGGAAAAAAAAAAAATCATCCTATTGCCTCTTTTTCTACATGTTGCTTGTCACATTTAAAATCTTCTTGGTTGTCCTAGAAAAACAGCTGCTCTGCATAATCACAATGGTGGCTGAATTTTGGCCAGTTGTAAAATCGTTCCTGTGCCTAGCTAATGGTGATAAACAATAAGGCTTCAGTCGTTCATGATACTCAGAAAGCATAATAGTACCGTCAGTTACTTGAGCGTTATCAAATCTGTCAACTAAGTAGTTGCTAGGGGTTAAGAGGAGTAGAGATCCTTCCCTCTCTCCCCTGGCTAATTCAATACTTCTCTTTTCTGGGTTGAGATTTCTGTATCTTGCTGAGAAGACTTCCTTGCTCAGTGGATGTGGTAGCGCAAGATGTCAGTGGGGGTCACCTTCCTAGGTTACAGCGCTCCTTATTCCAGCAAAAGAAACCCTCCCTGCAAGAACAACCGTATCCCACAGCTGGCACATGCTCTGCAGTTGCATTTCAACCCTTCAGCGGGGAGGCAGAGAAACGCTATTGGCTGGAAAAGAGTAAAGGAGATTTTAATCTGCTTCTAGCTCGCTCCTTTCCTCACGCGCCTTACAGTGGCAGGGAGCAGCAGGCCGTTAGACAGCACTGGTGAAGCCGAGTAGCCCCTGAGGGAACCCAGGAGATGATAAATCTTAACGCAAGACAAACCAACAGCTATTTCTGTAGTATTAGTAATTTTAGTACAATTATCATCACATACGTTTAGAGGAACAATACTATTTATTGCATCAGTATATAGCTTATCACTGAGACAGAGCAAGTAAAATACTTTGATTTTGTTCTAAATGAAGGAGTTTGTATACACCTAAGTCAGTATCAGTATTTGTGGCCTGCCTTGGCCTGAGCGCGAAGATACTCCAGAAGGCTTCTCTTTGCTTTAAAACATGGGCAGCCTACAAAGACAAACTATCTTACTCTAGCACAAAATACTGCATCCTTATGTGTCCTTGAAAGTCAGCGAATTAATTAAACAAAACATGTATATAGATGTTAAAAAAAAAAAAATTATCCACTATCTTAAAATCATTTTCCAGTTAACTTTCTGTTGTAAATGCAGGTTAATGAAGCTGCTAAAAGAGGAAAGAAGTTTGTGGGATTTGTAACACAACATTTTCCTCAGCCTAAAGCCTGTAATGGAACAAACAAAGATGGAAATGCAGAGCTGGACTCAACGCTAGGCAGAAGAAGCAGGGAACACAGAAGAAAAAATTCTGATGAGAACTATAAAAACTGGAACGAGGGGACACTGAGTGGTCAGTCTTCTGAGAGTGGGATAGAGGAGGAAACGCAAGCAGAAAGCGGACTGTCACAGGATGCAGATTTCCAGTTTGGAAAAGAAGGCAGCCCTGTTAAACCACGAAAAGGAGATGGTAATAAATGCTATTTATTTATTGCAGAAATAGGGTATTTTATTGAGTGATCTTTTTTTTGTTTAAAAAAAGATATTGGGAAAAATAATAGACTAGCGTATTTTATCTTATCAACTATTGGCTTTGGAAGACGCTACTTATTCTTAAAAACATTTCCAGCAAGGAGCCAGAAGAAATATTTACATTCTGCAGTATGCATATCTGCACTGTGGTAATAAGTAAAAATGATATTTCAGTTTTCATACAGACTTTTAAGGGTACTGTTAAAATTGTAGCTTGCGTGTTAAAAAAAAATAATTTTGATTTTAAATACGGTGTAAACAGGAAGCTTTTTTGCTTGGTATGTGAACGACAGATATGTGGCAGGAAAAAGGTTTCATCGTGGAAGGATGTGATTGTTTTAAAACTTCTTTCCCGTATATGTTAGTTCTCACCTACTCTTAGTATATAACCATAAACTTGTAATGGCTTTCCAAGATTATGCAGTAATAATTGCAGTTCTCTTGCCTATTCTAAAACTCACAAGAGGTGGATCCCCTTAGGTTTAGAGCTGCTTCATGCTTCTCCCCAACTCATATAAGGTTCAGCAAACAAACCTGTTGATAGTGGCTTCCTTCTGGAAAAGGTGCCCTCAAGAAGCGTCCTGAAAGAGATCACTTAAACTCATGTGTTGATCGTGGAACATTAAGCATTAAAAAGTTGTGTAAGAAGGAAAAATGTCTTTTAAAAATGTTAGTTTGCTGGTAGAAAACTTGTAGTAGAAGAATCTATAAACTGCATAGTGTAATCAGGACAAGGTGTTGCCTGAAACAATGACTTGTGACGCTAAAGCGCTAAGGCCTTCCCTTTTGCTAGGAAAAAAGCTGAAAACTTCAGTAATCTAATGCATGAGAACTAATGCAAAATAGCATTGTATTGAAAACGAGGCAGCATGAAATTTCCACAGAAGCGGAGGAAAAGATTAGGGGAAGGACTAGAGTTTTACCTTGATCTCATAACTCACATTAAATCAACAAACTGTCTGGTCTGTACTAGGATTTTACTCCCATGTTTGTTAGGGTTCCCTCATGAAGATAAGCCCTTTCCTGGGAAAGAGAGCAAGCCCTTGGATTATTTTACTTAAATCTTAAATTTCCTCTTTGCTTTCTCCCCCCCCCCCACCCAGCTGATTGTCCTCCCTGATTGGGGGGGGGGGAGGGTGGGGAGATTACATTTTTGACAAGATAGGTTCTGCCCTGATTTGCCATGCGTGTTTCAATTGCTCTCAACAGCAACCTTTTCACTTTCCTGTTAAGAGTTAAGCCCCCTCTCCAGTTTGTAGACTGCAGGGTAATGACTCTGAGCACTGAGATAATCAATGTCCCTCTTATTTTTAACACTTGAATTAAAGCACTTCCCCTACAACCTGCTGAGCCTTTATAGCATGCTCTGTTAAAGCTTAACCCTTTCCTTACAGCCTGAGCTAGCAGGTTTGCTATATACACCAGAATATAAATCTTGCAGTGTAAAAGCAGAAAACTTTTAATTCTGTTACAGAGCTTTCTTCAGGCATATTGGTGTAACCAGGTAGATTAGCAAGGAGTGTGTTTCCTAAGTGCAGAGAAATTCTTGAAAATTTTTGGCAGGAATACGCCTGTCTTCTCTGCTACTAGTCAAGTACTTAGTAAAGTAACTGGAGTTTATAAGACAGCTTCTGAAAATTTACCCTCTTTGCTTTGCAAACGTTTTATGCAACCGTCATTTGAAAAAACGCTGGTGTGAATTTTTGAACAGTGTCATATGCACGCAGATACGTACTGCCACTTCAGTACGCCGTATTTGCCTCAGTCTGCACTCAAGAGATAGGAAAATGGTGTGTCTCAGTGCCAGGTCTTAGCAGTGACAATGTGTGAGTTTTGATTATTTAGTTATACATTTAAAAAAAAAAATACTGCTAGTGCAGGCAAATTTCTGATAAATATGACCAATCGCATAGTTATACTGAGAAGCTTAAAACATTTTCTGAAGAGGAAACGTAAAAATATTATCTGAGAACATAGCAGTGTTTGCACAGGTGATGCTGGCCTTTTCTACAAACTTAGTGATGGTGCCGCTTTCGCTGTACTCGCGGTGGGGTGCTGGGGTTGGATCTTCTCACCGCTTTGGAAACATGCTTCTGGAAACAGGCTCCCTTTAGTATATGGGGAGGGAAATCAAGTGTATCAGGATAAAGACGTTTAGGCTAGCATAACCGTCCGTGGAGGTGACACAATAAAACTGTATCAAGAAAGGAGAGGCGTCTCTTGCTGATAGAGCTCACAATTTTGTCCTGAATTTCATCTGCCTCGTTCCAGGCACCTGATGTCACTTGCAGAAGTGCCGTCGCCCTAGGCCAGTGGGAACAAGTAGAGGTACTTCAGAGATGAGTTCAGACGCCTTCCGATCCAAATCACCCTTTGGAAATCTCCTAGCCTCCCAACCAGGGACATCTAAACCCAGTTCCTCTATTTTGGCCATGTGAAATACTTCTGCTTTGTAGAGCTTTGTTTGTGCTGATTTAGGCTGCTCAGAACTGAAATGTTAAGACGTAATCTCAGGGCCTTTTTATTATCCTACTTCCCCGCAACAGCAACATACATATATATGAGTGTATTTGTATAATGTTCTTCTGTTTTAGAACACACATATTTAGCTAAAACTTTATAACTAATCAGGATTTTCCTAAAATACTGTGAATTTGTGAAATTTAATTCTTTTGATGAAAGTTTGTTTCTGACTCTGTTTTCGTAACAGAACGGTATTAATCCCCACGCGCGTACACGCTCATCAGCTCCTGCGTGGAAAACCCCGGTAGGCAACTAGTTATACTGGTAGTTAGGGCATCTTCAGAAGAAGATGGGTAAAAATTACTGCTATACAAAGTATTCCTAGTGCTTAAAAAATTCAGAAAATTGTCTTTAAAATCTTCAGTTACAGTTTTGTATGTTTGTAGTCAGAAGTTCCATAAGTAGCAGAACTGAAGTCTGTTTTCCCTAGGTTTTCTCTCACATCTGCTGTACTTCCACTACACAAACCCCACCTCCCTAAAGGTCCAGTGACAGCCCAACAGCCGTACGTCGTACGTTCAAAGTGTTCTTACACCCCAAGCATGCCCCCTCTTCCTGAGTGGGTTAAGGACTCAAACTAACAGTAAAGTTATATCAGGAAATAATTCTTACAACTGTTACTTAGAATTAGGACACGAGGTTGAAGTAGAGAATAATAAAAAGACAACGTATTTTCATTTTTGAGCACTGTCTTCTGGAGCTTCTTTTTTTTTCTTGACTTTTTTTTTTCTTTTTTTCTCTTAGATAAGCTATATACAGTCTTCAATGTTTTTGATGATGATTCGACCTGCTGGACCTATCATGAGGGTGTTTTGTCTATGAAAGTAACGAGAAAGGGGCCAGTCGTCAGTACGCTGGAGGCAGACTGGCTAGAACTAACCACGTTTTATTATAAACAAGGATTGTCCTTAATTGAATCTTTTGTACACTGGGAAGCTTCTAAAGGTAAGTATTATTCCCGATTATCTTGAGGCTTTTACCTATTTATATAGATCTACTTATTTTGCAGTAGTAGGTTATGTTTTGCTTCTTACCATGAAGAGCAAAATGTAAATGTGTTCAGGTAGTCATTGTAAATTTGCTGAATCTTATATCTGATAAGGAAATAAAGTGTTTTCTGGACAGCTATAGCTCTGAATAATTGAAATTTCTGCTGCGTTCTATCAAATTCAGGATTTCTGAAACAGAAAAGCAGCATAGCATTATAATGCAGTAAACTGCATTATTTATTAAATTGGCCAAGAAGGCCAATGGTATCCTGGGGTGCATTAGGCAGAGTGTTGCCAGCAGGTCGAGGGAGGTGATCCTGCCCCTCTCCTCAGCCCTGGTGAGGCCTCACCTGGAGTAGTGTGTCCAGTTCTGGGCTCCCCAGTACAAGAGAGACATGGCACTCCTGGAGAGAGTCCAGCGGAGGGCTACCAAGATGATTAGAGGGCTGGAGCATCTCTCCTATGGGGAAAGGCTGCAAGAGCTGGGCCTGTTCAGCCTGGAGAAGAGAAGATTGAGAGGGGATCTCATCAACGTGTACAAGTATCTGAAGGGGGAGTGTCAAGAGGATGAGGCCAGTCTCTTCTCCGTGGTGCCCAGCAACAGGACAAGAGGCAATGGGCAGAAACTGAACCACAGCACGTTCCATCTGAACCTGAGGAAAAAAGCTTCTTCACTGTGAGGGTGACCGAGCACTGGAACAGGTTGCCCAGAGAGGTGGTGGAGTCTCCTTCGCTGGAGATATTCAAAAGCCGTCTGGATGTGATCCTGGGCAATGTGCTCTAGGTGACCCTGCTTGAACAGGGAGGTTGGACTAGATGATCTCCAGAGGTCCCTTCCAACCTAAACGATTCTGTGATTCTGTGAAAGCTTTTGCCCTGGTGGTCTTCTGCTTTTTTCCTTATTTAAAAGGAAAAGATACTGGAACAAAAATGGTTAGGTACACGTTTCCCTGATGTTTGTATTATGCTGCCACTCATTCAAGAGACAGCCCTGCACTTCACTGAATATTTTCTAATGAGACAAAGCACCTTCGGATCTTGGTGTGCTTTCTTAAGTCGAGTAAGCCTTTCCACGCTTCCTACTTTCTTCAGCTCTTTGTTGGGCTTAAGAGTTCTTTCCAAAACCCCAAATGGCTTCAAAAATCTACTAATGATCCTAAAGTTTCGGATCCAGCATCCTTCTATAGGTCATTCTGGCCAGATTTGAACATGTATGTTGAGTAGAGAAATCGGCTTCTGTTCTTGCCCTCAACTGCAGGTAGATCCTCCAAGATCTTTTCGCGTAGCTGGGAGAAAGATCTCCCCCGCTCCCTCCTGTTTCTTGGGCTCTTCTGCAGGAATCTACCTGCTCTTTTAACGCTTGCTCGAATTGCTATGATGACAGAGCTTCAGGCCACAGGATTTTCTTTGGGCTTTTCGGGTTTCCTAGTGCGTTCTGACAACGTCAACTCGGTCTCTCTTTTCCTTTGGAGAGACTCTGCTTGCTCTGTCACCGTTGCTAACCTTCACCATCCTGATGAACAGACGTAAGCCCCGCGTCCGTACTGCCGTTGCTGTCCCAAAGCCATCCCTGCGCGCCCTGCTGAGTGCAAAATCCGGTGCTTTGGGCAGAGCTGCCAGGCGCTGCTGTACTAGGTATTCAGCATGTTCTCTGACAGGAGACACTGTTCATCAGCTGCAGCATTTTGGACTCTAAAATACCGTTGTTGCTAAAAATCTATAACTAAGAAACGTATCTACGTTTGAACTGAATTTGTCTGAAAGGCAGAAATTAGAAGGGTTGCAGAAAACGGTTGTCCAATGATTTGAAACTAATGAAAATACTGTGAAGTTAGGTGAACAGACTTAAGAGAGTCTGACATAATCTTTCTGGAATTTACAATTACTATAATAAATGTTTCCTACCAAATTTAGAATTTATATTTTACTATGTGAAATGTCCTATTTTATCTTTGGCTAAATTTGTTTTTGCTCGCCCGCACTAGGTTCGCGGTCGTTGATGTTCCTTTAGAACTGTTTACAGCAGGTCATTGTAAGTGAATAAAACGTAGGGGTGCAGTGGAAACCAGTCTTGTTGAAAGTTTGTTGCAAAAGTTTCACAGCCCTTAGCAAACAATTGATGTAAGACTCGGACTGATTAACAAGTACGTTCATTTACTTAATAAAAATGTGTTGAAGTGGCTCTCACGAGTCATTTTACATCTGCTTGCTGTTGTGGTGGTGTTATAACATGAATTATACAATGAAGCTACAAATAGTGTTGTTTGGTTTTTTTGCATATTTTTATATTTACTAACAAAATGTATTTAGTTACTGAACGTAGCTTGCCTCGCAGTTTACGCGCAAGAGAAAGGCAAAGGACTCTTGTGGTGCTTTTTTTTTTTGCAGTATGTCTCCCTTTATTTACCTAGTCGGTTCAGGACAGACTCTTCCAGTAGATGCATGTGCTTGAGGGAGAGCTGTGGCTTTCTGATTTGGAAACAGAAGGATGCTAGAGTTACTAGTGAATCTGACACGCTGCTTTAAAAGTAGTAAAAACCAGTATTTGTGATGTACTTTAGACAGCATAATTGTGACGGCTCCTTTCCTTCTTTGTAGAGTGTTATCTTTATGCGCTGCATTCCTTTATATACGTTAATCAACTTCCAATTAAGATGAGCTTTATTTAATATGGTTTTTCTTCCATATTCTGATTAAAAATAATAATTTGTATTTTGTATACTTTTTGAAAGGATTTACATTTGAAAGAAGTTTTAAACACAACTATTTGAAAGTCAGATATTATGGCTTCTCTAAAAATCGGATCTGAAAAATAATGAGAGCTCTTGAGGTTTTATTATTTTCAGTAATTTAGCTTTGAGTGTGAATCGTTACATTTCTGTAACTCTAGAGCAAAGTAGATGTAGTAACTGTCAGAATCCGTGGAGGAACTCCTAAGTGCATCAGCATCGCTATTTACATCAGACTGAAGTTGTCAGCTGTTTCCTCTGAAACTGCACATTTTGTGCATGTGAACAAGCTAATGGCACAGTTAGTGTTGGCCATCTCTTCTGCTCTTAAATTTTAACTCCTATCTATTAGAGTCAGTAGGAGAAGAGAGATTCCTTTGGGGGAGGCGAGGTGAGAAATCGGGCCCTTAGTTTTCAATACGTTTTTTTTTAGAGCTAGAAAATAACTCTCTGGAGATAGGTTACAACTCACTGAGGAGTGTTTTCAGCAGCTGTTGAAATTCATCTCTGCAGCTGTTGTCCAGCGACAGTCTCGCAGTCTTCCCGTTCCCTGGGGCTGTCTGGTCTGTTCTGTATGAAGAACTGGCTCATCTCTAATACCCAGGGTATGACTTATTAGGGGGTTTGTGCTGCCTTCTTCCAGCAGTTGGTGCTTCTGGTTCTGCCCCGCTTGACTGGCATATGTTTCTGTCGGAGCCAGGGGTGTGACGTTGCTGAATTAAAATAGGCGCATTTGAAGGCGCAGCCCCGGATGCGGACGGCATTCTGCAGCTGATCAAGTCGGCAGTGCATTTAGCTACCGAGTTCCTCGGCTAGCGTTTGTTCATGGAGATCAGCGTCGAAGAGTTTCGCGGCCAGCTAAAGATTTGGCATCCAACAGAGGGAAACGCTTTTTGGGGAGAGAGAGCGTTTAAAGCTTTGCGGTCATCACCTTAATTCTGCTTCTGCTGTGGGTGCATGCGTTCGCAGTCGTCACCTCCATTTTGCTCGTTTCCTTTTACACTGTGAACTGTGAACTATAGCAGTAATTGTCCTTCTGTACATTTTAGTGAAACCAGCAAGTTCTAGCCATTGCTTTAATGTAAATAAAGATAATACATTCAGGTCAAGCAGCTGCAGAAGTGCATCACGATTGTCTTAGTTATTAACAAGGGTAAAGCATTGTCCGCAACAGAATGGGCAGGTGAAGAAGTTAATTCCACATGTAATTACAGTGATTTTTTTTTCAAGAGAAGTGATTTTGATGTGATATACTTTACGAACAATTTTTCTCAAAATACCACTGAGTGGCCCCGTTTCAATAACTGTTTAAAATTTAGAGTTATTCAGTTATGTTTGAATGGTAGAAAATAAATATTCTAACATTTTGTAGGTTGACTGCCCATTTTAAGCGTGTGCCTGCACACTGAAGAAAGCTTGAGGTCCATGAATTTGGAACATTAAGTAGTCGTGAACTTTTAGGGAGTGTGTACAGATGTTCATGTGTTTGTACCTGAAGCAGTATATTCAGCTCCATATACAAATAGGTTATATTTGTGTATGAATAAAATAACATGTGCAATATCTCTATAAATATGCAGAAGAGGCATATACACATGTAAGTGAATAATCATAACTCAAAGCACATACATTTGCTGTATGTAATGTAGTAAAAATAATATGAATATGAAAACCGAATAAATGCTCGGTATTTCATGTTAGCAAACAGATGTTCAGCAAAGTGGAACTCCTGGTTTGTTTGGGGAACTTCTCTGCCCGTCTGGTCAATTCTTACAGCAGGCCGGTGGTGCTCCAGAGGTGTGGGGCGCGTTTGTTTGTTTTTTAACTTCATCCGCTTCACCGGAAGCTGTGGCAAAAACCGTCTTCTCTTTACATTTATGGCACGTTGGAAAGGGTTTAAATCTGATGTTCTGAGGATTACTTAGTTTTTCCAATTGAATTTAGTTTAATTTTTTCTTTTTAGTTGTTAAGATAGTCAGTTATTGAGGTACAACGGCACAAAAGGCTTCCAGATGGCACGTAGGAGACGCAAAAGCAGAAAAGGAAGCAGCATGCGATGGGCAGCTTTAGTTTGGGCCAACTGGATGTTGTCAAACTTTCACAAGAAGTCAGTCGGGGAGGTGTGCTCTGAAGCTTCCTTCCCATCAGGAGTCTTCCTACAATTACTTCTGTTTCAGGCTCTTCCTGTTGTCATTTAGGTATTTATTTAAGTAACTGCAGCTTGGCTTTGCACTTCATGCTTCATTTGTCTTTCAGGTGTCTCCTACCACGCTAAAAGCCACATTTATCGTCAGGTGTATGACACTGAAGCTGAGTAAAGAGTTGTTGCGTGTGTGCTGCAGGGCACGTGTTTGCTGAGTATAGGAAACCTAAATGCAGACCCAAGCGTGGAAGCGGCGAATACTTTTGAGAAAATGAAACCTGTGTTGGGCTCATAGCTCAAATCCTGTAGAGGGGGGGGAAAAAGGGGAGGAGGGGATTTTGAATAATAAACTGACCTACACAGCTCATGAAGTTGTAACTAGGTGCAGAAATAAAGGCACTATGAATTTGAGTGATTTGATGCCTCAGGTCATTTTAGTTTAGAGGACTTTTTAAGGAGAAAGTGTAAGTCCCTGCATGCATCCCTGTAAGACAGAGACCTAAAACTTTATATTTCAGCTTACGTTCATCCTTATTTTCACAGGGGACTACCTGCCCAAATCTTTGGAAGGATTATTTATCTACGAAGAAGAAGGTTCTGGAGTTCCAGGTTCCAACAGGAAAGGAAATGATGCAATAGTTGTTGAACAATGGACAGTCATTGAGGTAAATTGGTGATTATTTAGCAGTGTAATTTCCGACTTCTAGTTTTCTTTGGGCTTTTCTGTTAGGATATCTGTACGAGTGCTGATAAACATGAAGGATGGTTTCTTGAAGCCACCTGGATAAGCTGAACTAGTGCGGAAGTGTTTTTAAATAGAAGGAGGAAGAAAATAGCAACAACTGGAAGTTAAACAAGTAGAAATTGATAGTGAATGAATTACATAGAGTTTTCAGATGTGTATTGTTAGTAACGTTTCAGTGTGAAATAGACAATTTTTATTCTGATGAAGTTACACTGTGCAACATAGTGCCATAATATACAATTATTTTAATGTTATTTAATATTTTAATTCTAAAAGATTGTTGGTGTGAGTGAGTGACATGTACAAGTAATCACTGTTGGAGTATATGAAGGGCTTTTTAAAGAAATATATTCAATGATGAATACTTTTACTATGGGAATAGAAACTGCACAAAACTTAGACGTGCCATAAAAAGGTAAACTCCACTTAGGTCAATGGATTTGCTTTGCTAAAGCACAGATCTAAATTTAACTAAAAATATACAGTCTTTAAAAATATTTTCTTTGAGGTCATTGTTGATAATGTGCGTTAAGGACTGGTTCTGTCTAAAGTCATCTCGTTTTCTTGATCTATTGTTGTACAGAATTTGATCTTGAACAATTGAGGTAGGATGTGGTTGCACGTTACTGGTGTACAATTTTAGAGAAATACACACAGAGAAAAATGTCATCCCCTTCCTTTTAGTCTTCGTAATTTAAAGATCTTTGTTGCCTGTCTCGAAAGCCATTTGTCTGCCTTCAGGGCTTGTGCGTGTATGATAATGCCTACATCTGGGAAAAGTAGGAATTATGTGAGAAAACGGATCATGAAGAACTGAAGTTTTTATGCATTGGTGTTTTTGTTTTTAATCTGTTGTGGCTTTTCAGATTGTAAGAATTCCTAAATAATATATTTTTAGATGCATGTATACTCGCTCATTTTTTTGATTTTATATTCCTTCAGAACAAAGTTTTGAGATTTCAGTCAGTAGCTAGGTGAGATGTTTGTTGTTCAGTTGTGAAGTTAAAAAAACACCAAAAACTAAATGCACAGTTAAGAAATCTGTTCTGCAATTAAATTGAAACAATTTTGTTTTAGGCGTTAATTCAGCAACATGACCAAAGTCAAGAGAGATATGTGCTCTGAAAGTCTTGCTCTATCAAGGCTCATATCTGAAGTTAACGTGCCCTATCTGTTTCCCTAATCTTCTATAATCTTGAACTCTTCAATCTGAAAACAGTTTGAACTAGGACCTCTATACCAACAACACAATGGGACATATTCTCAAAGGATTGTTATATTGTTTGTAAAGAAGAAATAAGAAGAGTGATTGTAATTTGTTATGTGTAGAAATGTAAGTAAAGCCTATACAGAGTGTCTTTACTACTTTTTATAATTATTAATGTAGGGATGTGAAATTAAAACAGATTATGGACCTTTATTGCACACGCTGGCTGAGTTTGGATGGCTTCTGACCTGTGTCCTGCCTACACCTATCGTACGACATGACAGGTACCCAAACAGCGGAATACAGCATTTTTGTGTATGCTCCAAGTTATACATCTCGGAGAATTACCAAGTGATTATTTTTGTACCGAAATGTAAAAGGAAAAATGTTAATGTTAACTGCGTGTAAAACTTGAGATGTAAGTAGCATTATGCTGGAGGGTTTTTTTTTTTAACACGTTGATTTAGGACAATTGACCTCACTGAGTTCCAAGTTAGACCAGTAATCCTCAATTTAAAATACATTGTTTATATGCAAACACAACAATTATTTTATTTAGGAAACTTTTTATCACGTTTACGGTCCCCAGTAATGGGCCAGCAATGGGATTACTCATATGCTTCAAGTTCAAGCAAGTGTTGAAATGTTTCACTAAAGTAGGACCTTGGTGAATGACTGTTTTGGACTATGGGAGAAGAAGTAATTTTGTCACAAGACAGTCATGCACTACTTACTGCAAACGAGGGAGGGGAATGTGCTAATCCAGCAAGTTATTGAGCTGTTTCTCTTCTTCTTTAATGTAGACGTTATGTTTCATCTTAACTATAGTAGCAAACTACTGAATTTCAGTTCTGTTATTTTCTCGTTGTGATATTTCTGGAGAGGTCTGTGGGAGATCCATGTATATAGGAAGAGCTAATTTTAATAGGCCTAAATCCCATGTAGTGTTCCAAACTTTCACTTTATTTACTGAAAGAGAGAAAAAGTACTGTGCTTTTCTTTATAGTGCCAATCTAAGGAAGCGCAAATGCATCACTGGATTAAGCTTACACAGGTTTTCAAGTTCTGCTCCCATCAGATTAAGATTGCCCAGGTTTAAAAGCAAACAAGTGCGTGGAGGCATGACTTGGGTCTCATTAAAGCTAATGAGAAGACACTGAGTGACTTTAGTAGTCTTTGGATCCAGACCTCACTGTGTTAAATCAAGATAGCATAAAAAGGATGTGAATGGAGGGTTCCCAGAGAACTGCTCCAGGAAAATGGAATTTTGTTCAAGTGAGTTGGCATGATTAAATCAACTCATCCGTGCGAGAAAGAGGTATTTCTGGTCAGGAAATAGACTTCAGGGTTTGATTCTGTTGGGTTTTTTTTGGGGGGGTGGGGTGGGAGGGAATGTTATAGTTGATTTTAACCAGTTGGTTAAAAAAGAGAGGAGAAATTGTGATAAAGCATATGGCATATTCTGCTGTTTGAAGGGTCTCTGTATGTTTTGATCTGAAATTTATAAAATTCTGAACTTACACTTGTAAAGCTCCCACTCCGGAGAAGCAATTTTTACAACGTGAAACAAAGCATTTATCCTTTAATGCATTTCTTCAAGCAAAATGTCTTTAGCTAAGTGTGCTAGCTTTGACATGGTGACTTGTAAGGCGGTGTGAACTGGTGAGCCTAGCAGTTTCCATAAACTGAGTTTTTTGGACAAACGCTAGAGCTTGAGAACAGGTCTTCAGGATCCAGATCTGCTTCTTGGGAGGATGTGAGGGGGCAGTGGGAGAAAAAGCTTTTAGTAGTCTGCATGCGCCGCAGGTCACAGGATGGGGGAGAGGTGTTGACCCCGAAACTCTTCCGTGCCCGTAAACAGTGTAGCGGTATCCATCCCCGTAGGGTTTGGCGAGCCGGGGTGAGGTTGTCCTGAGCAGCTGCTGGGCAGCCCCTTTGGGAGTGTCAGGCTCTGCATGCAACAGGCAGTCTCCTGCTCTCTGGTACCTCACAGACTGGCAGGGCAAAAGCAGGGCCATTTAGGAGTGAAGTGCTGTAGTAGGGAATTAAAAAAGAAAAAAAAAAAAAAAGGTGTGGGGGGAAAGAAGTGCTGTAGGAAGTGCAAACAATAATTCGTTAGACAGGACCTGTTCCTTGAGCCAAAAAAAAAGGGGGGGGGGGGAAGAAGTGCTGTAGGAAGTGCAAACAATAATTCGTTAGACAGGACCTGTTCCTTGAGCCACTGAGAAGGCTTAAGGCATGACTTAAGTTGCACTTGCTGCCTGAGGTAGAGTTGCTTCCAAAACAGAACGTGAAACAAGCAACCCGTTACTAGCTGTGGTCGTGTAAAAGGGGGGGGGATTGTATCCCAGCCAGATCTGAAGCTGGATTCATTTTGTAGCAATGCTAGAATAATTCAGATGAGTATAAAGCATTTGTTTTCTGGCCTAAGTGTTTGTGTGCATTGTCTAATACCTGTTATCTTAGAATGGCGTACAAGATACCTTTAGAAGAAACACTATAAATCACACTTTGTGTATGTGTCTGGGGTATATCTAACATATATATCTAATCAGATTTGTTTAAAAAAAAGAAAAAAGTCCATGAACAAGGGAATATTAAGAAGTGCTAAAAGACTTGGAAGAAGAACAGCTTGCTTCTATACTGGCAGCCTGAGTAATGATTGAGAAATACTATTTTAGGCATTGATGTTGGTATTTAAAGAGGAGAAGAAATTCTTGGATGGTTACTCTGTGTCTGATATGACGGATACTATTACTGTGGCCGTAGATGATGCTAAGAATGCAAGTTAAATGTCTGAATAAAGGAGGGCATTTTATGCTGCCTAACAGCTGTTCTTTCCTAGACTTTGAACTGTGACCTCAAAACCCAGACTGAATATTAACAGGCTTCAGAAACACTACCCAATAGACCATGCTACCAAAATCACTCACAATTAACATTTTCTTCTGTCAGGAGCAAACAGCATTTTGGGAAGTTCTGGCAAATTCTTTTTTTTTTGTATTTATTAAAAAAATTAGTACTATATAGAGAGACAAATATAATGAAAATTCTGTTTAAGAACAAGAGAAATTTTAGCAGGACAGCCTGCTTGCCTTTTCTATTCTCTTTTATATTTTCTCCTTTTTTCTCTCTTACTGTTCTCCTAATCTATTGCAAACTTTCCCTAGTCTGAAATTTTCTAGGATCTGTTCTTAGCCATTATGCTCACTGCTTGTCTGCAGACAAAAAATGTGCCTCTCAAATGTCATTACGGTTATTTAAACCATCGTATGACCTGGAGTAGCAAACAGGTTCTGGAGTGTGACAGAATTGCTATGCATTCTGTGTTCCTTTTTTGGTTTTGTTTTATTTGAGGTTTTTTACATGGTTAGAATTTGAAACAGAGTTGAAAACCACTATGCTGTAAAGCCTGTTCCTGTATGGTTTTGTTGTTGCTGTTTAAAGTTTTTCTTCTTTTTTGCAGCTGTTCATCTCCACAGAATAAAATGTCCTGTTGCATGCAGTGTCATGCCACAAGATAGCTGAGTATCGTAGAGCGGTGACTGATTTCAGGTATAGGCAGCAGTCTCTAGGCCTGTTTGTCCTTTAACTCCTATCTTACAGACTAAATCAGGTTGGATACAGGAACAGTTCCTTAAGAAGTCTTATCTTTGCTGTTACAAATAGAGCAGTTGTGGATATCATACCCTTCAAACATTGAGAGTTGCTTTTTTGTGCAATCGTGTTTGAAAAATAAGTATCTGTGGATTTTTGTTTTTTTGGTAAGCGCATTGCAAAACCCACTTAAGTTCCCTTCACTTAACTTCCTTGTCTTCTTCTGTCAGTGACTGTATTTTTCCAAGGGTACAAAAAACAGAGCATTGAAAAATGTGCATGTGGATGCAACAAGTTTGTGCTGTATCCATCCATATCTTGGATACTTAAATCTTGTCAACAGTCATTGAAGAATCTATTTTAAGAGCATTTGAGACCAAAAAAGAATGCAAGACTGACCCACCATAGTTTTGAATATGTAGTAAATGACCTAGGGAGCCTCATGCATTATATACAGCTCTTACTAGGTAAATGTTTTCAAGGCAAGAATTTATTTGACAGACGTATCTGACAAGGATTAGGCCGAGTTCAGAAGGTGTATAGCTAGGATAACAGTGATGGTCATTGTAGGAGTTAAACCTGGTAATGGAAAAATAGCACATTAGGAAATACTGTGCTAGTAAGTTAGCGCCCCTGTAGTTACTGACATGACTGTATCATAAGCTCCTAGAGTTTAAGACACGTTGGTGGTTTAAAATTAGAATTCTTCCTAAGTTTTAATTTTTCATGGAGCAGATGACTTACTATCCAAAGCTCGTTACTGACAGTCTAAATACTGTGCAGTTGCAAAGCACTGCAAAACGCTATTCTGAGAAACACAAACTGAGCTGGTTAAAAGAATTTGCTATCGTATTCCTTTTCTTCATTTTTCAGGAATCTTTGCCTGACCTTGATTTTTAAGTGCTTCAAATGCAAAATGTTTATGCATAAAAATCAGGCCTATAAAAATCAGAGCCATTGGCAGCCCTAGTTAGCTGAAGCTGGATGACTGTTTTTAAGGACGTACTTAACGTGCACAAACAATAAGGGGAGGACTTTAATCCCCATATATGTAAGCAGACAAACAAGTCGCTGGTGCTTTTAACAAAAGAATCTCTGTTGCCCTTCATCCGTCTTAAAAGAAGAGACAGGAAAAAGGCTTCAGCGGCCTTACTTTGCAGTGACCTTTATTTCCCCTCACTGGTCGCTGTAGTCACTGAAAGCGGGCAGGACAGGGCTGTCCGTAAGCACCGGAAAGCAAACAAATACCATGCAAAAATACTGGCTTTGTGGTTATTAGTTTATCGTCACAAACTACTTAATCTGAGTTTTGAAAATGCCCTGAACTCAAGAGGCCGAGAGTGAACGTGGAAACACGAGGGAAGCTACCGAGTGGCTTGTTCTAAGCGTTTTTCTAACTTACCTTCTGTGGGAAATCCCACTGTCATTCAGCTCTTTGTGAATTAAGCTCATAGCAGTTTTGTCGTGTGCAGCATTTTAATAAGGTCAGACTCGGAAAATTGTTAATTTACTTATTGTCTACTCGCCACCGAGTCCTTTCTCTGTTCTGGAGGAATTGGTACAAGCTGAAGCTTACTGTTTGTTTTTTTCCTTCTCTCTGGTGGGACGCAGCCTCCGTTACAAAGCAAGGCGAAGGCCTTTCCCCCTGCCGGAGACTCTGCTCAGCCCTCTGGCTCGAAAGAGAGGTTTCTCAACTGATATTGTGGTGTGAGTGGAGGGTGGTGGTGGACTAGGGCTTAACCAAGAGGAATAAATTTGCAAGGCTGCTGATTTCCTTGTCATACAATAAATTTGTAACCCATTTATTTTCTTTTAATGAATGGAGGGAGCCATAGCCAAATGACTTCATTCCCCTGCCTCCCTGTGTTTCCTGCAGACTGCAGTTTGAGATGGTTCTCTCTCCTTGTCCGAGGAAGATGTGCAGCCCTGACCCGAGCTCAACTGGAGTGAAAGGGAGATTGTGAGGGGCCAAACACCATCACAGAATGGTTATGAGTTGCTGTTGATCCGATACAGCTGAGTACACTGGGAATAGTGCCACTTTGTGTGTTTTCTCAGAGAGCTTGCTCGCAGACGCTGCAGTGGGGCAGGCCGTCAACGCCTTCTTCCCAGTCTCGTAGGAGCAGTTTGGATCCCTGGTTTTTCTTGGAGCAAGTTCCTACCATTTAGTTTAAACTCATTCCGTCAGTCCTGACCCTAGCATGAAATATGAATTAGTTACCTCAGCTTTATATGCGTGGTTGTTAAGACTGCCATACCCCTACTAAAGGGCAATCATTTTGGTAATTCTTTCTGTAATGTTAATAATACTGGCTTATCACTGGTACCTATGTGGAATCATAGATACTTGAAATGAGCTCACACATACTAATCTTTACAAATTTAAGTAGCTGTAAGTGTTGTGTTTCTGTTTTGCTGCTTTTCTTTAGCTTATTCTTAAATCTATAATCATTTTCCTGCCCAAGTATTTCAGTGTCTTTTCTTTACGTGCATAAAGATCTCATTGAATAGTGCCCAGAAATAGACTGGGGGGAGCAGAAGAGTTTATCAGAACTCACAGTCTGATATTTAGAAGAACAGAGGAATTTTTTATTTCCTCACCTCCTAGGGCTCTGGTTTTGCATT